TCCCACTCTTCTAAGAAAACATGGAGTATTCCACCTCTCAAAAATAAACCCGGCCTATTTCCTTTAGGACCAACTCTGCTTAAACAAACTTTAAGCAAACTTTTTGTGATGTCTGCTTATGTTTATAAAACTGGAATCTACCTATATTTTTTTGCGTAATTGGGCAAGTGATATAGGACAATATGACAATGAAAACTGGCCGGGGTGGGGAGGGGGCCAGGCCACTGTCCGTCTGTCCAGATCAAATGACACTCTCCTATGCCACGAGACTCTGCCCAGCCTCTTTCTGACCAGCCCTGGTGAACGGCCCCATCTGATGACCCAGAGCCCCCTCGCAGAAGACACTGCTGGCTGCTGACCCAACAGCCCTTGCGTCCTTGTTCCTCTTTGTTTTCAGAAGCCCAGCCCGGTTTCCTATTTAGATAGCCGTACTTCCAGCCTCGAGGAATTAGTCACCATTGTTTAAGGTAATCATTAATCCTGCTGCTTTCACTAGTGATTGAGGCGGGTGTAAGACAGACGTAAAGGCAAGAGGGCTGGGAGATCCTGGGAAATCCTTTCCTCCTTGAGAGCGAGAGAAAGCAAAAGAGAACATGAGCACGGGAGAGTGAGAGAGAGAAAGAGAGCGAGAGCAAGCCAGAGGAGCAGACGCGAGGTAAGTGTGTCCCCTTTCCTCTCTGCCCGTTGCATGCTCTCGGGTGAGGACCTGATACTTGGGGAAGCAACAGCTGGAGGCCAAGGACCCATACAACATCTGACTGAAAGCCTTAACTTCTGCTACGCTCTGAAAGTTTGTGTCCTCCCCAAATTCACACCTTGAAATCCTCATACCCACTGTGATGGCATGAGGAGGCGGGGCCTCTGGGAGGAGATTAGGTCATGAAGGTGGAGCCCCAGTAAATAGGAGCAGTGCCTCGTGAAAGAGACACCCAGGAGCTCCCTGGCTCCTTCCTCCATGTGAGTCACAGCGAGAAGGTGCCTGTTACAAACCAGGAAGAGAGCCCTCACCTCACCACGCTGGTACCCTAACTCAGACTACCAGCCTCCAGAACTGTCAGAAAGAAATTTCTATTGTTTGTAAGCCACCGAGTCTGTGGTATTTCGTTATAGCAGCCTGAACAGATGAAGACAACTTCTTCGAGCTGCTGATCCAGCCCAGCCATCCCCCTCCTCCCTAATTGACAACGAGGACCCCTTTCCTATCCTCTTCCCAGGCTGGCTCCTCCCACTCTATTAGCTTAATAGCCGCCTCCAGGGAGCCCCTCCCAGACCACTCCCTTCTGTTCTTCTCTATCTTGGCACTTCATGTGTTTCCTTCATGCACTTTGGCAACATTTATGATGATTTTGCACTTCCATGTCTTGTCTCCCCTTCCGCTGTCTGTTTCTGCAGTGCCTTTAAATTTTGCTATTATTTGTGAACTCTGAAATGAATGTCATTGATGGAGCATCTACTATGTCCCAGGCCCTGTGCAAAGATTTAACCCTGAAGAAACTCCTTCATTCAACAAGAATGTATTGAGCACATGCTAGCTGGACATTGTGAAGCCCGAAAGTAAAGGGTAAGGAGTCTGGAGCCGGGACCCCGATAGAACAGGCAATGCTCCTGTGGGGCTGAGGGCTTTGGTAGGGAAAGCAGAGCATGCTACAAAGTCCCGTTACCCTGATTTAACCAACGGGGAAACTGGGACTTTGAAAAAAAGGAGACTTGTCCAGAGCAGTTCTCAAACTGTGGTCCATGGACCCTGGGGTCTCTGAGATCTTTTCAGGGAATCCAGGAGGTCCTCCCTTTTCCAACTACATATCTGTGTGAGACCAGATTGTCTTCATATACATCAACTAAACAACATATCGCAGAGATTGAATGCAGAAGCAGATATCTAACTTTCCATTAAGCCAGACATTAAAGAGATTAGAGAAAATATAAAACTATACCCTTCCCCATTTTTTTTTTTTTTTTGAGGAAGATTAACTAAGAAGGAAGTTAATGAGGAAGATTACCCTAAACTAACATCCACACCCATCTTCCTTTATTTCATATGTGGGACGCTGCCACAGCATGGCTCAATAACTGGCACATAGGTCCGTGTCGGGATCCGAACCTCCGAACCCTGGGCCGCCACAGCGGAGTCCCAGGAACTTAACCGCTAGGCCGCTGGGTTCTTACACGGTTTGTGAGATTGACGGGAAAGAATTCCCCTTCCGTCTCCTCAGGGCCCCGCCCCGGCCCTGCCCGCCGCGCCGGGCGCCCCCTGCTGCCCGCGGCTGGAGCCTGCGGCCCTTGGCCACACCCCCCGTTTCAGTCGGCCCACAGGGAGCCGCTTGTCCCTTTAATTGGCATGTACCAAGTCCTTCCAGGGTCCGTCTCCTCCCCGGGTCCCAGGCGAGAGGAGTCACTGGTCGGAGATCCCGCAGGAGGGGATGTGGGGACGGCGCGGTGCTCCGTGGGGCTCTGGGCCGAGCGGGAGCGGGGGCGAGCGCGGGCCGAGGCGCGCCGCCGCCGCCGTTCTCCCGCCGCCGCCCCCCCCCGCCGCGCGCCGTCGCGCAGTCCCAAGATGGCGGCCACCATGAAGAAGGCGGTGAGCGGGGCGCTCGGGCAGCGGGATGCGCGGGCGCCGGCGGCCTGAGGGCCGCGGCCCCGGAACCCGGCGTGGGGCCTGGGCCGGGGTTCCCGACCCTGGGGGCGGCCCCCCGGGCGAAGCCTGTCGGCGCCCCGGGCGGCTTCGGAGGTCCCCGGCGGGCGGAGGGGGAGCGCCCGGGCCGGGCGCCCCGGAGGGCTGGGGCCGCCCCTCGCGGGGCTGAGGAGGGCCTGGGGAGGCCGGGGACCCCGCAGCCTGGCCTTGTCCCTGGGCTGTGGGCAGCCGAAGGGCCCGTGGACTGCGGTGGGCCGCAACGCCGGCATCTCCCGGGGCTGTCACGTTTAACCCTCACATGCTCACGAGGCTGGGTGCTACTGCACCGTCCTTTGCAAGGGAGGAAGCTGAGGGCCAGAGAGGTGGAGCCACCTACCCAAGGTCACGCAGCTCTAAGGAGCAGAGCGTGGCCCGCATCCCCTGTGCCCAGCCCCAGCCGCCCCGATGCCCCGGCGTCCCCCAGGCCGAAACCGTGTCTATTGAGGGTAGATGATGGGCCCGGGCCCAGAAGCGGCCGGTTTATGATCTCTGCTCCTCCCAGCAATTTAGCAAGGACCCGGGTGTCCCTCCACTTTATAGATGGAGAAACTTAGACACAGAGAGGTTAGTGCCTAAGTGATTAGCTGATAAAAAGCAGAGCTGGAATTCAAACTCAGGTTTTGTTTTTTCCAAAACATATCTTTTATCCCACTAAGTAAGCTAAACTCCCATTCAGGTTTTATAATCCAGTAAGTCTAGCCAGAGGCTTAAAGATATACAGAAAGAAGAAAAATAAAATGGGGAGGGGCAAGGAAATCGTAACATCGGATAATTATTGTGCCTTTACTGTACTGTGTGCTAGCACGGGTCTAAGCGTGTTGTGTACATTATTTGTTTTAATGTTATACTCCTTTTAGGGAGATACTGTTTTTATTCCTATTTTACGGATGAGGAAACAGGCACAGAGGCAAAGCTAGGATTTAAATGAACACAGGCATTCTGACCCAGAGTGAGTGTTTTTAACTTCCATGGTGTCTGATGAGAGTCCCCTGGCTGATGGGATTCGCTGCCATTCCACTTCAAAGACCAACAGGAGAACCTGCTTCCTTTGCTGTCCTGCTGTGCAGGACCGCACAGGCTGAGCCACCTGCCTCTAGTGTAGGGTGACCAGCCATCCCGGTTTGCTCAAGATTGAGGGAGAGCTAAAATGGAAGGCCCCCGGCAAACCAGGATGAGTTCACTCTGTGGCTCTGTCATCCACAAATTCGTACTCATTGCTGGAGTAGGGTTCAGGGCCATGGTGATTCAGAGAAGTAGGAAACTGAGATTTACTTCGCCTCTATTTTCTGTTTAAATTGGGCCCTCTGTTGTTAGATATGCCTTTAATTCTGGGGAAGACACTGGTTGTGGTTTGCCCCCCAAATGGTGTGGAAACTGAAGTGCAGAGAGGTGAAGTAAAGGTTGAGGAAATGGTAGAAGAATGATTTGAACCCTGGACTTTGCAGTGTTTTTGATTACCTGCATTTTCTCCTTTCTTTCATTCAGCAGACTTTTTGAGCATGTAATAGGGCGCGGTCTCAGGTTTAGGTGATGGAGATAACCATGGCGAGCTACGATAATGAAGTTCTTACTGCCTTGTCCTCATAGCATCGCAGAACTGATGCTCTGGGTGAGGCGCAGGCATTGCTCAAATAGTCACACAGAAAACTGTAAAGTTTCCAACTCCGATGAGAGCTATGCAGGAAAGGTGCTTGTGAAATGAATGCTGGAATGAGGTCTGTTTTGTAATCTGAGAAGGGGGGAGCTCTCAGATTAGTAAGGATGGGGAGAAAAACTGAGGAAAGGAGCAAGGCGTTCTAGACAGGGGACGTCTCCTGCAGAGACCATGCGTGCAGTTAATAAAAAGGAGGCCAGAATGACAGAGGATCGGGGAAGAAGTTGAACCATGGTGGGGGTGGACATAAAGAGGGGCAGGTGGTGGCCAAAACACGAGGGACTTTCTTCTTTATCTTAGACTGGCATGATAGGTGCAGCATCCTTTAGTGAATGTTTCCAGTGCTGTGAACCATTTCTGATAGGTTAGCTCCACGTGCGGTATGCTTTTCCTCTCCGCTACTCTAGGAGAAAACACAGGCATGCCAGTGGGTGATAGTGAGAGGTCACAGTGCCAGCCAGCCCTCTGAGTGAAACCGAAATTGTGTGCACGCTGGAGTAGTTTACATGACTGGTCGTGACTTTCCTGGTGAGAATGTTTAGATGAGGGGATCCAGGCCTCTCCTCTCGTCTGCTCTCCGAGACCTGGTTCTTGGTCCTGGGAGGAGCTGCCGTCTGATTTCTGTTTGTTGTCGTGAGTACAAATGTCCCCTCCCCAGAGAGAGGCCATCTTTGACCTTCCTTTCTAAAGAAGCCCCCATCAGTCCCCAGCCCTTCAACACTTTTGGCCCCTATTTTTCTTTCCCCATCACGTGTGTCACTGTGTGACATGATCTGGCTCCCCTTGTTTTCTGCCTACCTGCTCCACCAGAATGTCAGCTTGCCAGTGTTCATGAGGGGAGGACCGTGGCTCTCTTCACAGGGCCTGGCGCAGAGGAAGCACTTACTAAATAATTATCAAATGAATAACTGTAGGCATGAAGGGCGAATAAGAGTATAAAGCAGAATTTTATATCACAGAGACTTGGTAGATACCTTTAAGAAACAAAAATAAAAGCAGACTGAAATTGGCCAGAATTTCCTTCTCCTTGGCTTCTAAAACAAAGAGCGACCCAGCTGTCCATCCAGACTCTGCTGGTAATACCCAGACTCCGTGTGGGGCGTGAGGAGTATGGTGCACCCTCCTCCCATAATCCCCTAAAATACTGATTCTCAGGAAGAGGGTACCGTCGGGCTTCAGGGGATTTTGATTTTCATCTTGAGCAGTTATATTTCTCTTAGGCCCAGCAGGGTTTTCCTCTAGATCTGGTCTCTTCTTCCTTTGTAATGATTTTTGGTAAATGTTATTCTGGAAATAAAGCACTTATTTATCATGTATTGAAAGGTGCCTCTATCCCCGGCCCTATGCTGGGTGCTCATTTTATCCTCCCTTCAAGGGAGGAACCAGTTTCCCCATTTTACACATGACGAACCTGAGGTGGCTCCCAGGAACTGAATACTGTACAGTAGTTGCCCTCATCCGCGGTTTCGCTTTTTGAGGTTTCAGTTACCTGCGGTCGACTGGTCTGAAAATATCAAATGAGTGAGAGAGAGCGAGAGCACATTCACATAACTTTTTTTACATTATATTGTTACAATTGTTCCATTTTATTATTAGTTATTGTTGTTAGCCTCTTACTGTGCCTAATTTGTAAATTAGACTTTCTCTTAGCTATGTATGTGTGTATAGGAAAAAAACGTAGTATATATACTGTTCAGTACTATCCCTGGTTTCAGGCATCCACTGGGGGTCTTGGACCATGATCCACCACATGGCCATCTGGGTGAGCAGTGCGGGATGGGTTGCCAAGAGACCAAAGAAAAGACCCAGAGAGAGCGAGCGAGACATATGGGTTTATTGGGAGTTACTTTCAGGGAAGGTCCAGTGGCGGCTGGCTGGATAGCAACGTGCACCTGCTACCGTCCCATGAGAGACGCTGGCTTAAGTAGGCAGAGGAACAAAGGCTGCATGCTTGCCAAGGGGGATCGTCCCTGTATGACCTGCATTCCAAGGACCAGAACCCCCCACCCGCTGAGGGCCTCTGTGTTCCCTCAGACCGAGAGGGTCTCAGTGCTAACTCTCCCAGGAGAAAGCAGCTGGGTTGACCAAGCCCAGGAAGACTGTTACCATCATGAGTGCAGGCATGTAGCCCAGACCAGAGCCTCAAGGCCACATGGTCTTTAAAGGGGCACACCAGCTAATGCCCCTACAAACCGTATCCCCTGCAGATAAGGGGGGCTACTGTAATTTGTCCAAGGTGCCTGCTTGCTTGGATTCGAATCCACTCTTCACTATTTCCACCACTCTGTGCTGCCTCAAATACTGCAAAATAACTCCTTCCTCCTTGAGTTCTTATAACTTCGTGAATGGTTGTAACTACGTGTGGCTTCTCTCAGAGCAGGAGTTCCTACCCTTTAGGGGTGTGGACCCTTTTAAGAATCTGATGAAAGCTATGAAGACCCTTCCAGAAGAATGCACATACAATACACATCATTGTACATACAGTTTCAGGGGGCAAATGGACCTCTCAATGTCCAGGGACCCCTAGTTAAGAGTTATCCCCTCCCTGCAAAAATGAAGCTTCATGCAATGTAGGAGTGTTCTAGCTCAGCGAGATTAAGCAGAAGCCGCTACTGTTAGTTGTGGCAGGTGCTGACTTCTCACTTTTGCTGTAAACAGCGCTGCGCTGGGTGGCGTGTAGTTTAACCTGAGCGTATTCACCTCCCACTGACTTTAGCCCTTCATGCCAGAGAGAAAACCACAGTTAAGGAGTGAACTGTGGGGGCGTGTGCTGCTAGGGGCTGCTGTTGGGTGAGGCTGCAACAGGAAATGCCTGCTTGGGAGATAGAAAGCAGGTGGCCACATTCCCTCGACAGCTTTTCAGAAACCGTGTGTGTGTGTGTGTGTGTGTCTTTGTGTGTGTGTGTGTGACTTAGGTGTGATTTAGATCCAAATCGTGTGTGTGTGTGTGTGTCTTTGTGTGTGTGTGTGTGACTTAGGTGTGATTTAGATCCAAATTCAGAAACAGTGCATTAAGCCTCAGATGCACGTCGGGCAAGCCCCGTGCTAGGTGCTTTCCCGGGAATTACACGGTTCAACCTCATGATGACAAATGCATCTGCAGATACACATTCAGGTTTTCAGGGGCTCAGTATTTAAACTCTGCAGGCAAGCAGGAACTCTGGAATTCTCTGTTCCCTGTCTGCTTAGGGAATTGATAGTTCTCATGTAGCCAAACCGACTTGAATGCCTAGATATCTGCACTTGGACTTCCCTTTGGTTTTTGTCGTGTAGCTCAGTGCTTCCCAGCTTCCATATTCATAAAAATTAGGCACAAGTTTGAACATTCAAAGTTATACATATCGGGATGTAAAGGATCTTGTCAGGATATTCCCCGGGTCTCTGATGATGGGCCTGATCATGGATGATGAGTGCCTGGGCCAGGGGAGGGCTGAGTTCTAGGTGTCTGCCCTCATGAGCTCCATATTGGCCTGAGACAGCAGGGGATAAAAGCACCCCTATCTTATGGCATTGTCATGGGAGAGACCAGGTGAAAGGATGGGTGGGGTGTGGTTATTGTGAACCCATTACTGTTATTGGCAAAAGAGCCCAAAATAGTCCTTCTTGAAGCTATATATATATATTTTTTCCCCCTTTAAATAATAATCAAGAGCTCTTGTTTCTATTTTATAAATGAGGGGAAACTCTAAAGAGACTCTGGGATTAATTTCTTTTCCTAAATATGTGGTCCCCCGCTAAGAATCTGATGAAAGCCGAGGACCTCCTGCTGCTCCTCATGCACACACACACACACTTTTGCCTTTAACTTCTAAGAGCTCATGGACCTGTCTGGACTCTGGAGCCAGACTACCTGGGTTGAAATAGAGCGCTACCACTTACTGGGTGTGTGGCTTTGGGCAAATTATTTAACCTCTCTGTGCTACAGTTTCTCCATCTAGAAAGTAGTGGTACTAGTGATCCTACTTATTAAGATTGATTGGAAGATTAGCAGAGATAAAATACTTAGAAAGTTCTTTGCATGTAGTAAGAGCTCAATAAATGTTAGCTATTATTTTTATGATTTCATAGATATTTTGTCATTTAAGCATTCCAATTTTATTTACTAATTTAGTCACATTAAATATTTTTAAACATTCAGTTTTCATCATTTTGCAGTAAATTACACCTTATTCATTATGAAGACATAAACAGATTCTACATTAAAATAAATATAGTTTTTACTATTTATGGAGTGTAGCCACTGAAATGCATAGTGACCCTCTAGCCAGTGTTAGCAGTTAGATTGAAAATTATAGAAACTGTCAGATTTCTGATAGTCTTAACAAACTTAAGCAAGTTTTACCTCTGAGAGAATAAACTAGTATAAGGCATTTACCAAAATTAATTACCACATCACTTTTTGCTCCCTGGGTTATCTTGATGAAACTGTTCCAACTTGAGAAATTCTGCTCCAGGCCAAAAGTTGGCTGAGTTGATTCAGGACTTATTCTTAATTATTGTTTGTGTTGGAAATGCTTTTCTAGCTTAGGCATGATTCCGTAGAATATTGAAAGAGGTTATAGATTTAGGAACAAATCTTAAGCTCGTGGAGCGAAAAGTTAGTAAGGCCTATGTTTGTGATATTCTGTACCTCTTGTGTTTTTTGACTATATGAGGACGAATAGTTTATTGAGTTATTTCAGAGTTATATAAAAAGCTAACCTGTAACTTCTCCATTAAAATTAATTCTACGAAAAATTAAAATGTTTTTTCAGGCTGCAGAAGATGTCAATGTTACTTTTGAAGATCAACAAAAGATAAACAAATTTGCACGGAACACAAGTAGAATCACAGAGCTGAAGGAAGAAATAGAAGTAAAAAAGGTATTGAAAAGATGTATCTCATTTAAGAAAAATAAAAGTTCTTTGTACTATGGATTTTTAAAACTGAATTCAATAATATGCGATTATATCTCTGGGTCTTTGTTGCGGATGCCATAATCCATTCCAGTGAGTTTAAGAAGAAAGACATTATTTAAGGGATGTGAGATGGTGTCGAGATTGTTGAGGGTTTGAGGAGCGGGTCCCAGGACCACATCTCAGAACTTGGCTGGTGATGGAACTGCTGTTGTCTCCACTGATCCCAGAGCCAGCTGCCTCGTCCACTGTGAGGAAGCTGCCCCTTCAGACCCAGGAATGCTGGGCTGCCACTGCTGCCGGCCCCGTACACTGGGGGCCTCGTGCCCAGCCCCCTCCTCATTGACTGTTGAAGTCCAGTTCAAGGGCATTTGCTTGGTGGAATTTAATTTACCATTTGCTTTCATCCTATCATCAAGCAGGTCTGAGAAATGTCATTTGGTGTTTTTGTTTTTCTTCTAACCTAGGAAGGCAGAACTCACAAAGTAGGAAACGCTTGAGTGGCCATGGATACCCACTGTCCACCTCAGGTGTTAGGTAGCTGTTAAGTGCTTCCTTATGAAATGTCATGTAAAAATGTAAGAAAGTCTTATTTTAGGGTGATAATGCCTTTGTGACAGGGTCCCTCAGAGAGTCGATGTCCCCAAATTAAAGTTGGCTTGTAGTCTCTTCTCAGGGCATTTTGAATACGTTTTCCATTGCTGTTTACTTTTGTGTTTATAGAAACAACTCCAGAATTTAGAAGATGCTTGTGAGGACATCATGCTTGCAGATGACGACTGCTTAATGATACCTTATCAAATTGGTGATGTTTTCATTAGCCATTCTCAAGAGGAAACACAAGAAATGTTAGAAGAAGCAAAGGTATGTTGGAGTCTTTCCCTGAGTGATGAAGTCTAACTCAAAAAGTAGGATTTATATCATTATAAAGAACATGTAATATAGATGTAGGGAAGCTAATGGAAACTAGCTAATATTTCACGGGTTCTTAAAATGTCCCAGGCGTGCTCTGAATGCTTTGCAAGCATGATTTTATTTAACCCTAACGGTGAGTCTGTGAGATAGGTACCCTTAATCCCACTTTTGAGTTGAAGAGGTTTAGAGAGGTTATAGGACTTACTCACAGTCACACAGAGGGAATGGCCTTCTGACTCTAGAACCTGTGCTCGAAACTAAAAGTATTTAAAAGTACGGAATATTATAAAGTAGAAAGAAAATCACCTGTAATCCACTACCCAGAGATAGTGATCCACAGTGAACATTTTCATGTGTGTCTTTTATGTTCTCTCCTTCTCTTTCGCTGTGTAGTTTTGCTTCGTGTTTTGGTCGGTTAACATCCTAGTAGGAGTACTTTCTCGCTCCGTTTAATGTTCATTCATTTATCCGGCAGATGCCCAGTGGGAGCCTGCTCTGGGCCAGGGATACCTGCTTGGAAAACATCATTTTTGGTGACCGTTTAATGTCATGTTGGTAGACATTGATTCGGCTCACTGTCCTGTTGTTAACATCGATTTGTTTCCAGTATTTTCCGATAGTAATATTGCAGGGAGCATTCTTATACTGAAAGCTTTGTTCACATTTAGGAAATTCTTTGAAGGAAATAATCAGAAGTGTGATTAATTACTGGGTCGGAGTGTGGATCCATTGACAACATTTGAGGCATTGGAGAATTGTGTGAAATTAGTTTTCAATTCACATGTCCTCCAGCCGTATATGAGAAGGGCAGTCATGTTTGTGTATGAGAAGCTGATGGCAGTTAAACATTTTCTAAATCTTTTAAAATTTACTTATTTAATGTTGAATACTTATTTGATGTTTATTGAATGTTATTTAAAATGCTAGTCTCCCTTCTTCAAATGTCACAGAAAGCAGTACTTTCCATGAATTAAAGCTGCATTTAAAAACCTGGAGAGGAGCTAGTACTTTTGCTCCTGGATCCTTCCATGCGGAAACACTCACTGGATGTCTCCCCTTATGTTTAAATCTTTTCTTTCATAGTAAAATTTTGTAATTTTGTTTCTTTTTTTTTAACCATCCTAAAATATTCTTGTCAAAAGTATTTCAAGATAGTTTGTGGTTTTTGTCATTGTTGTGAACATCATCTCCCCCTCATACTGAACCTCTGTTTTTTTATTTATTCATTCCAGAAGTGTTTATTGAGTGCTTACTTTGTGTCAGGTTCTCCCATGTACTAGGGACACAGGAGACAACAAAACATGCCTGGTCTCTGCTCACATGGAGTGTATAGTCTAAATGGAAAGAGAGAAAACTAAGCAAAAAAAACTAATAATGAGTAGAAAGTGGTATGAGGATAGAGCCACCTTTAAGGTCATAGGGCGGGGGCTCTGTCCTAACCTAGATGTCAGGGGTCAGCGAGGGGCTCCCTGGGAAAGTGACGAGGTGACAACTGAAAAATCAGGAGGTATTACGTAGAAACGGGGAGGGGCTGTTCCAGACGGAAGAAACAGCATGTGTGAGTAGTCATAGAAAGATTGTGGTGCAAAAGTAGAACTGAAAGAAGTTTAATTTGCAGGAGATTTGGGAGCATCTCAAAATGTGGTCAGATCTTGAAGAACTCTGTCACTTGAGTTGAGTAAATTGACTTTATTTTAGCAGAAGTCAGCAAACTTTCTGTGAAGGGCCAGATAGTGAGTGTAGTAAGTGATAGTAGTGTGCAGTAAGTGATAGTAGTAAGATAGTAGTAAGCAGATAGTAAGTGTATTCGGCTTTGTGGGCCATGTGGTGTCCGTCACAGTCACTGTGACAGGAAGACGTGTCACCGAGTGCCATGGCTGTGTCCCAGTAAAACCTTCCAAACCCAGCTCCAGGCTAGATGTGCTCACCCTTGTCCTGGGGCAAGAGGAGCCTTTTATGCCTTTTAGGAAAAGAGTAATGTGATAGGGCTTGTGATTTAAAAATATTTTTCTTGTATGTTGTGGTAATTTCACTTATTAATTAGGTTTCCTGGGTATAGAAATTTTACCTCTTTTCTAACAGCTGTCTGTCTGATTTCTAGTTCTTGTCTTATAGCAGTGGTTCTCAGACTTTTAGCAGGTGTCAGAATCATCCACAGGAGGGCTTGTTAAAATTCAGATTGTTTGGCCCAACCCCCCAAATTTTTAATTCAGGAGGCCTAGTGTGGAGCCCTAGAATTTGTATTTCTAACAAGTTTCCACATGATCTGGGGTCCAGACTTTGAGAACCATTGATCAGATCCCTAAAACAATAACGTTGTCAATAATAGGCATTCTTCTTTCATTCCTGATATTAATGGATATACCATTTGTATGATTTCATATTTTCCTGGTTGTATTTGGGAAAAATCCTTTTCTTGGTCTTAGCCAGGAAGGAATTTCTGATATTTCATGCATTTCATGTGGGCAAAGCTGCCCTCTCCCATGAACGAGGCACTCATTACTGCTGTCTTTCAAAGTCTAGCTCAGGGGCCTTGTAGTTAGTAAGAATTTCTGCCAGATTTTGACTGTCAGTTATTGTTTAATTATTATTTTAATTATGGGTGGCAGTGTGAATTTTTATCATTTCCTCTGGTTTCTTAGTTATTTTTATGGGAAGTTGGAAGAGGCTGTGTCAGAAGCCAGGCCCATAATAAACTATTTACCAGAAGTGTTTATATATGGTTCTTTCTTTATTAGGATATGATAATTTAGAAATTAATTTTATCTGTTGTGTTTTTTAAATCAACAAAAACTGAGGGAAAAAAAGTTTGATTTATTCTATACTAAGCAAATATAGGCCATGGATTAAAAATGCCCACATCCAGACTCTTGGTTTAGATTTAATTATCAGTGTTATTTAGCTGCCTGTCCAAGTTTAGAAAGTTTTTGACCTAAAATCCTTCCCAAATATTACTTCATCTGCAGATGCTCAGAAATAATTTTGTTGAATAGAATTAATTTAACTTATTTTTTTTCCAGAAAAATTTGCAAGAAGAAATTGCCGCCTTAGAGTCCAGAGTGGAATCAATTCAGCGGGTGTTAGCAGATTTGAAAGTTCAGTTATATGCAAAATTTGGGAGCAACATAAACCTTGAAGCTGATGAAAGTTAAACATTTTATAATACTTTTTTTAATTTGTTTAATAAACTTGAATATTGTTTAAAATGATAATTTCCCTTCTTCAAATGATATGGAAAGCAAAACTTTCTTTTTTTAAAATTTTCATTTATTTAATGGAAACTTGCCTATTTTCACATGTCTTGCTTATTTATTTTATATTTTTAAAAGAAAACAGTAGTCATCTATGTATTTTGCATAACGATTATATCAAGCATAGGGACTCTATGTCATGTTATTAAAATCAGTTAAGCAATCTTTTATGTTTCTATATTGTCATTTAGAATATTTGTTGCAGTCTTTATTTATAAGAAAATTTAACAGATGTGTCATGTTGTTTATATGTCTGAGTTACTATTTAGAGACGGTGAAAGCACCACAGAAAGATCCTGTCCTACAGCTGTCTTCTTTGCTCATTCCACAGCTAGAACTTTGTCATATACTAAAAACTATGTGTATATTTTATTTGAATATATGTAATATATATTATATCTAAACATACATATTTCACATATCTCTTACATATATATCAATGTCATAGATCTTGGTAAAAGAACTGGATAATGCTCAGACAGGCATTTGAGCTTCATACAAACAGAGGAGAACAACAGAAGAATATTTTGGAAACCAAGAGATCCATCAATAGGAAGAAATGTTTACTGTCTTTTTATTTATTTATTTATTTAAAGATTTTATTTTTCTTTTTTTCTCCCAAAGCCCCAGTACGTAGTTGCGTATTTTCAGTTGTGGGTCCTTCTAGTTGTGGCATGTGGGACGCCGCCCCAGCATGGCCCGATGAGCAGTGCCATGTCCGCGCCCAGGATCTGAACTGGCGAAACACTGGGTCGCCAAAGCGGAGTGCGTGAACCCAACCACTCGGCCACGGTTCCAGCCCCCTACTGTCTTTTTAAATTACAAGTTTTAGAGTTTATTTTACTGCTTTGAATAATTGGGTTTATATTGGTAATGATGCAACTGTGTATTTAAAAATAGGGCTTTTTTCTTAAATAAAGAGTACATTTGCCCTCTACCATCCCCAAAAAGATTGTGATTTGGAATGCCTGATTGTTTGAACTTTCCAGCAGATGGCAGTGGTGTGCCAAAATACCAACGGAAGGACCATAATACAAAAATGAGCATATTTCTAGGATTAAATATGCACAATTTTAGAGGAAATGTTATTTTTTAACCTTCGAGGCTAAACATTGCCTATGGATTTTTTGTTAAATGTTTAGCAACAATTCAGGCTTAAACATAGAAAATATAATTTTTATTTATTTATTTATTTTGAGGAAGATTAGCCCTGAGCTGACATCTGCTGCCAGTCTTCTTTTTGCTGAGGAAGACTGGCCCTGAGCTAACATCTGTGCCCATCTTCCTGTACATTATATGTGGGACACCTACCACAGCATGGCTTGATGAGCAGTGCCGTGTCCGCACCCAGGATCTGCACTGGGCCGCCAAAGCAGAATGCGAACTTAACCGCTGCACCACCGGGCTGGACCCCTAGTAAATATAATTTTAAAATTCTTTATGACATAACTTATAAATTGCTGCAGAATTTTCCCAAATAGTGATACTCAAATTCTAGAAAATGACTTTTACAAGGATGTTTTTTCTTGCATGCATCTGGTTCGCGTTCAGTTAGAGGAGTGAGACGGGGTGGATATGTCAGTCAGCTTATAACAGGACACGGATAACACACTCAAGTCAGAATAATTTGAGGAGCTTTATCCAAGATTACAAGGAGGGTTTTGTACCCTTGAGGCTGGGGAGGGAGCAGCCACCTCTTTCATCCTGGAACCCAGGCAAGGGCTGCCTTCATCTGAAGAGGGACATAGCCAGCCTTTGACATCCCTGCAGTAATAGAGCTGGGGGACTGGACACCCCAACCTCATCCTCTCTCTCTCTCCAAAATCCGGCTGGTACCCAGCATTGGCCAAACCCAACTGGAATCCAGAGGTAGTCTGTAAAAGTTGGTCTTTTGCCAGGCCAGAGAGCTGGTGAATGGATGGATCCGGGGGAGGCTGATGGGAGATCTGACCCAGGAGGGTGGCTAAAGTTGAGCTCTTCAGAAATGTTAACAGTGAAGGCTCATCAACTTATGTGCCAGAAAGTGAATTATATAACTGGTTGGGACTTAAAATCTTATCAGCACGTTAGCAAGTAAGCCTAATACAAAAAACAAACATCTAACATGGGGAAGAGGGGAGTTACATTATACAGTGTTTTCCTTAATTAATTTGTGAAGTTTTAGGACATCAGAAATCTTTTGTCCCCCTGCCTTTTTTGTTTTTTTGGTGAGGAAGATTGGCCTTGAGCTAACATCTGTAGCCAATCTTCCTCTTTTTGCTTGAGGAAGAGTGGCCCTGAGCTGACATCTGTGCCAATCCTCCTCTGTTTTGTATGTGGGATGCCCCCACAGCATGGCTTGATGAGCAGTGTGGAGGTCCACGCCTGGGATCTGAAACTGCAAACCTCAGCTCACCAAAGTGGAGTGCACAAACTTAACCACTATGCCCCGAGCTGGCCCCTTGAGTCCTGTCTTAAAATCATTCCTGAGGTGTCCATAAGCCTTTTCTTATTTTTGTTAATAGTAAATTCATTGAGCTAGGTGAAGACTGGGAAACAGCATGTACTGTATCTGAAGAGGCAACTAATACACAGCTTGAGCCAGTAGTTGCCATGTAGAAGTTTTGATCTGTGTCACCACTGTTTTCGAGACAAGAGTCCTGAGTTTTATGTACAATCACTGTTTTTAGACAGTGCAACTTTTTTTTTTAAGGATTGCAGGCTAAACAAAAGATCTTTGTAGAACAAATCTGACCATCAGGCTGCCAGTTTGCGAACTTGTGCACAATATGCTGCATCTTACCCAGGCTTTTGATGGGAAGTAGGCAGTAGATAATTTGCCTGTACTGAGGGTCTTAGAGCTGTTATACTGAGCCGCTGACTTTCACTTTTAAATACCTCTCAAATCTGTCCATTTCTTTCCCTCTCCACAACCACCACGACGCTGGTCGAGCCTTAAGAAAGCTCTAGGCAAAAGCATGAGTGATTAGGGGCGGGAGAGGAAGAAAATGCCATTCAAGATGGAGTTTTGTCAACTGGAGGCCAGAGAGCGTCTCTAAAGGGTTTGAATCTGAAGGTGGCATACATGACTGGAGCAGTATTTTAAGTAGCAGGTCAGTTGTTAGGTGGGTTTTTCTACTAAGAGATGGAGGTAGGGATGCCAGGTGTTACTGCACTTTCCCTGGTGCGTCGAGTCAGTTGGCAGAAAGAAACGGAAAGAAAAGGCAGCCAGGACTTAGCGAAGGTGGAGTGTGTAGGTCTTGATAGGTTGGAGAGGTGAAGGGAGGGGGAGAAAGCCAAAGATACCTTGGTTTTGAGCACAGGCCAGAGACAGCCTGCAGCAGGCTTTCTTTGGCTCTCATAATTAAATTTTTTTAAAAAAATTTCTTGCCACAATAAAATCAGATCTCACATAAAAGTTCACAGTTGCCATTTGGAAATAGGGTCCCAATGTTGTGAGTCTTCAGCTGCTCGCCCGTTAGACAACGCAGGCTCTTTCCAGTTCACCCCAGTCCCCACCCAGCGTGCTCCCCTCATTGACATCACCTGCCTGGCACCTGTTCACCTTGGCTTTGTGAGCCCTGGCAGCCTGCTGGTAGTGTTGATGAGGGCAGGGATGTCAGAAGTGTCCGGTTTGCGTGGGCCGGGGCCGGGGAGGGGAAGAGCATGAGTTCGGCTTTCGACACTTGGACTCGGTGGGATGTCAACCATGTGGAGATGTGCAATTGGCTGTTGGAAAGGTAGGTTGAAACTGGAGTATGCGGGACTGGGGAGGTATATTTTAGAACGGTTTTCATCCTAGAGAAGTGCTTTTTAACATTTAAGGTACGTGCACATCACCTGGGGGTTTTGTTAAAATGCAGATTCTCATTCAGTGAGTTTGGGCTGGGGCCTGAGGTTCTGCATTTCTAACAAGCTTCCAGATTATGCTGAGATTGCTGGTCCATGGGCCATGCATTGGACAGCTAAGGTAGCTTGTCACGAAAGAGATGAGGACTTGGGAAAGAGTGCAGGTGGGAGGAAAAAGAATCAACAAGGGAGACAGAGCTGCAATAGTGATGGGAGATCCGAGGGAGGGTGGGATCCTAGAGGACAAATGGGAGGCTAACAGCAGGAGACGGTGGTGGATATCAGAAGTACAGAGACGCCAAAAGGAGCTGAGCAAATGGAGCTCTAGTTGATGACTAAGAAGTTCTTAATCTCCTTCAAAAAAAGGTTAACTCCCCCCACCCACGTGCACACACACCTGAGCCCCGCACACACCTGAGGTAAGTGGCTCACTCCCATCGCAGTGGCGCACACAGCAGCGATTCTCAAGGGGGCCACTTGTGTGGTTTGCAAAAACCTTCAAATGCTTAGGACCAAAGACAAATCAAAATGTTCCCTACTTCAGTGGTTCTCAAAGTGTGAACATGGGGCCAGCAGCATCAACATCACCTGAGAACTTGTTAGAAATGCAAAGATTTCACAGGACTAAACCCTGAAAAAAATCTCCCCCACTGGGCCTGATGTTGAGGGACATAATGAACACTGCCTTCAACAAATGTTTCATACAAACTGGGAGTGGAGCCCAGTGTTTTAACAAGCCCTCCAGGTGATTCTCACTCAGCTAAAAACTTGCCTGGTTCAAATAATTCAGTCGGTTTGGGGGCCAGGGGAAGAGACTGAACGCCGGCTGAGAATTCTTAATGCACAATTACAGTGATGAAAAGAGTAACAAGATACAGGAGCTAGACTGTCTTTTAATGTCGCTGCAGTGTAGATGGAAGGGCCTTTGTTTTGTTTTTAAGAACAGGGAATATCTGAGTTTTTGTAGGAACAGATAGCAAGGAATCCAGGAGAGAAGGTGATGACAAAGTCAAAAAAATGTTTTGGAGGATTTAACCCTGAAAAAACTTTCCCCCCATTGGGCATTGACTTTGAGCAATGTCATGGATATCTACTTCAACTCCTGCTTCAGGGCAAATGCAGGAGCAGAATTCACATGTCCAGTTCTTGTAGCCATTTAACTGTTAACTTCAATCCAATGGAAGTAAATCAGAGAGAGGCTGATAATAACCAGCCAAGATCATGTAGCCAGGCATGGTCTGAGCACTTTCTGTGTATTGACTTAGTCCTTACAATCCTGTAAGTGACATGCTGTTGTTGTCATTGTCTCCATTTTATAGGTGAGGAAATGGAGGTGC